ATCTTGTTAGTTAGCGTTCACAGATCCTAGTAAAACCAATAAACAGTGTCTGCACGATAAGATTATTGCTAGGGTGTAAAATAAAAACCCCTTTGGAGTTCCGAGGCCAGCCGGGTCTACAGAGCGAGTTCCAGCTCCAAAGCTACAGAGAAACCCTGTCTCGAAAAACCAAAACCAAACCAAAAAAAAAAAAAAAAATCAAACAAAAAAACCCGTCACCACTACTTGCTTACCACATAAATTTGTAGTGGCACCTACCTGTAATCCCAGCATCAGGAGGTAGGCAGATAGAAGCAGGAAGGACAGAAGTTTAAGTTCATCCTCCACTACATAGCGATCTAGAAGCCAGTCTGGACTACATGAGACCCACTCTCTGTAGGTTTTGGGGTTTGTTTTTTGTTTTTCAAGACAGGTTTTCTCTGTGTAAAAGCCCTGGCTGTCCTTGGACTTTCTTTGTAGACCAGGCTGGCCTCAAACTCAGAGATGCCCCTCCCTCTGCCTCCCAAATGCTGGGATTAAGGGTGTGCGCCACCACACAGCTCTTGATAACCGTTTTAATTTGCTGAATGTTTGGCTGTCACAGAACTAAGTTACCCATTACTATCATAACTATACAATAGAAACAAGCTATCAAAAGTTGGTACATGTTGAGTCTTGACAAATCCAGGATGAGGACTGGAGAGATGACTCAGCTGTTAAGAGCAATTGTTGCTCTTGCAAAGAAGACTCAGATTTAATTCCTAGCACTTACAAGGCAGCTCACATTGCCAGCAAAACACTCAAAATTAGAGAAAAAAAAAAAAAAAAACAAGATGCCTATCTCTTGGATATATAACACCATCCTTTTGCATGGGAGCTCCAGGCACCCAAAATTGTATGGAGACCCTGTTTTTAAATTTTTCCTTATTTGATGAATAAATATTAAACTCCTGCATTAAATATTAGAAACTTACAGAGTGTAAAACATAAACTCAGCCCATCCTCAAAAAGGAGGGACAACCGGGCGATGGTGGCACACGCCTTTAATCCCAGCACTTGGGGGGCAGAGACAGGCAGATCTCTGTAAGTTCAAGGGCAGCCTGATCTAGAGATAGTTCCAATACATCCAGGACTTTAAAAAAAAAAGAAAAAGGTGATAAAATATACATGTATAAAAATATAAAAATAAACCAGGAATCAGGTTGTGGTGACCCTGGACTATAACCCTAGCACTTGGGAGGTGGAGGCAGGAGGATAGGCATTCAACCTGGGCCACATGGGATTCTGTCTCAAAGTAAACTGACAAAAATTCTAAGCGAAAGTGCTTGGACCCACCCAGCTTTAGACTTTGGCTTTTATTTTGAGATAGGGTCTAGTTCTATAGCCTAGACTCCCCTCAAAAGTGAGTTCGAGGCCAGCCTGGTATATAGAGGGTCCAGCCTCTATATGAGTTCGTACACTCCAGGGTAGGAACATGTGGGTTAGAAATGTTATTAGGCAAGAAGAACAGATATGAAAGAAATACAGAGACATAGGATAGTACCAGGAGGGCAGCCCAGTGAATACTGAATCCAGAATACGCCACGTTTATCTTGCATTTGCTTTACTATGACAGATGTCACCCCGTGTGGCTATGACAATAGAGTTCCAGGATACCCAGGAATATTACACAGAGAAACCCTGTCTCAAAAAGCAAACAAACAAAAAAGCAAAAGAACTAGGTTATAACTTAGTGATACAGTGTTTGTATAGCAAGCATGAATAAAAAGACATAAATGGACTACTGTTGCTAAGAGATGCTATAAATACCTCTGGGCAAAGTGGCCACAGCTATTATTTTTTTAGATTTATTTACTCTCATTTTATGTGTATGAGTGTCTGCCTGAATATATGTACGTGTACCGTGTGTATGGCTGATGCTCACATAGGTCAGAAGGAGGAATCGAATCCTTGGAACTGGCATTACAGATGGTTACAAGCTACCGTATGGGTGCTAGGAACCAAACCTTAACTTTCTCGGCAAGAAAAACAAGTGCTCTGAACTGCTGAACTCTCTCTCTGTGCCAACAGGGTCACATACCTTAGCACAACTGACTTCATAGTGGAAGTGCAATTCATGCTATAAAACAGCACATAGCACCACCAGTCAAAGTAAAAACAAAGACGTAATCCATCAAAGTCCATCGTTCCGGGAACATCTCTAAGTGAAATAACCTTGTTTTATTGGCTTCTATAGTACTGCTTCTGGCTGCTCTTTTTAACTGAAGTGTGTCAACCCGGAACATGGTTTTTGTGTTCAAAAGTTCACCCCGAGAAAGGTCTGGGGGCTACACCAGGATCCCAAGCACCCAATGTAGTCGCTGGTAGGCTAATACTTTCTATTGGCTTAAACCTATGTCTCAGCGGTCTTCTCTGGTGAATACCCAAGTTATTTATAACAACCAAACATCCTAGCTGGGCCATCTCTCCAGATCATTCTTCATTCTTTAAGAAGTATTTATTTTATGTGTGTGTGGGTATACACAAGTGCGGATGCCTGAAGAGACAAGAGGTATTTCATGCCCCTGGAGCTAGATTTATGGATAGTTAAGTCTGACAAACTGGTCCTCTGTAAGAGTAGAATAGGCTCCTAGCATCTGAGCCATTTCTCTGTTCTCACTTTCAGCAGCGGTGAGAGTTGAGACAGGGTTTCTCTGTGTAACCCTACCTGTCCTGGAACTCGCTCTGTAGATCAGACTGGCCTCGAACAGAATCAAAGGACTGTGCCACACACAGTTCCAGTTCTGTTCCTACCACCACTTACCTTGAGTATCACCTTGTTTTTTTTTTTAAATATTTATTTATTATGTGTACAATATTCTGTCTGCGTGTATGTCTGCAGGCCAGAAGAGGGCACCAGACTTCATTACAGATGGTTGTGGTTACCGGGAATTGAACTCAGGACCTTTGGAAGAGCAGGCAATGCTCTTAACCACTGAGCCATCTCTCCAGCCCCGAGTATCACCTTGTTATCCACTCCCCAGAGGCGTGTTCTCTTTTTGACACTTGATCTTACCTCTACCACTCTTCTGAAATGGTCTCCTGTAACCCAGTCTGGGCTCAAATTTCTGATCCTTCAGCCTCCACTTCCCAGGTGGTGGCATTAAAGGCACACAACACCACATCAACCTTTTTGTGTGTTTGTGTGGGGAGGCATTTTGCTTGCAAGTATGTCTATGTGCCGTGTGCATGCCTGGAGGAGGACACTGGAGCCCTTGGAACTGTTGTAGTTTCTGGGAAAACAGCTAGTACTCCTGACTGCTGAGTCATCTCTTCAGCCTTTTGTTTTGCTTTTTGAGACAGTCTAGCTGAGTAGCCTTGGCTGACCCCAAACTTGCAGTGTTCTTCCTGTCATCACCTCCCAGATACTTAGTGGACACCACACCAGCTCTAACTTTTTTTTTAAAATATTTATTTATTTATTATGTATACAATATTCTGCCTACATGTACCCCTGCAGGCCAGAAGAGGGCACCAGGCCTCATTACAGATGGTTGTGAGCCACCATGTGGTTGCTGGGAATTGAACTCAGGACCTTTGAAACAGCAGGCAATGCTCTTAACCATTGAGCCATCTCTCCAGCCCCAGCTCTAACTTTTTATATAGCATTCTGTTGAGACCAGTCATTGCCTACTATTGCTACTGGTTTGGAAACTCAAGCTGAGACTCTCACATACCTTTTCAAACCTGGCTGTGCTGACATTGGCAGTCTCTTAAAAGGGAGTAGCCTAATTCATTTATTATGCAATCAAATACTCTGACCCATCTTCCATTATCATCTGAAAGGTGGAGAGTAAGTGGGTTGTTGGAAGGGTTATATAGGTTAATACATATTACCTACTTAAAACTGGATCTAAGCCGGGCGGTGGTGGCGCACGCCTTTAATCCCAGCACTCGGGAGGCAGAGGCAGGCGGATCTCTGTGAGTTCGAGACCAGCCTGGTCTACAGAGCTAGTTCCAGGACGAGCTCCAAAGCCACAGAGAAACCCTGTCTCGAAAAACAAAAAAAAAAAAAAAAAAAACTGGATCTAATATTTGGAAGCATCTCATGATACCTTCCCTGTTTATTGTTTGCTTGTTTTAACTTATTTTGTGTGAATACACACGACACACCACACATGTGGATTCTAGGAATAAACTCAGGTTGTCAGGCTGAGCAGCAAGAATTCTCCCATTGAGTCATCTTACCTGGCACCTTAATGCCTCCACCTAGTGAAGTAGAGAAAACACATAAAACCTAAGCCTTGTCGGGCGGTGGTGGTACACACCTTTAATCCCAGCACTCAGGGCCGCCAGGAATATTCAATGAGACCCTGTCTCGAAAAACAAAAAAATCCTTATCAGTGCACACTGTAATCCCAGCACTGGAGACGCTGAGGCAGGAGGATCACTTCAAGTTCCAGACCTGCCTGAGTTGTATATCAAAACCTGTGAAAAATAAAAGCACTCTCACCCCAAAAATGAACTTAATAGGATGCGTTCTGTATTCTATTTTGTCTGGGCTAAAACTTGATTCTCTCTCTTCACCAATTCTATTGTTTTGTTTTTTTGCTTCGTTTTTGCAGTTAGGGTTAACGTCGAACCTATGACCTTGCACATAAGACTAAACACACATTTTACCACTCCTAAGAACATGTTTTCAGGAACCTCCCAGATCACTTCTAACCACTAGCTGGCCAAGCTACAGGGTGATCATTTCCTTAGGCAAGCAAACACTCCAGGCCTTTAATATGGTATTTCCTGGGGCTGGACTATCAACAGGAAGTCTTGTGGATAAAAACTCTGCCAAAACATTCATTCCGGGAAAAGGGCTGGTGACAAATCTGCTCAGCTTGTCCAACACCGTGCAGACTCCACGTGAGGCTCCCGCTGCAGACCTCACGCCTACAATCCCATCCCCATTCTTAGGGTTCATGAGCTTGTACGATCAATAGATATGGCTAGATAGAAACCTAGGTAAGAAGACAAATATTTACACTTAACAAGGTGGTAGGGGCATTTATTGGCATAAGTTAAAGATTTCTTTAAATGAGAGAGTGAACACTTAACATTCAAGTTGCACCACTTTATATATAAAAACAAAGCAACAAAAAAACTTAACCCCAATTCTCCATCTGTTCAGTCCTATTTCAAGACGATAAAGCAAAGGAGGAAAGGGGTAACGTCCTGCTTCTGCACTACCAAGTTTAAGGCACTAGCAGCTAACAATCCCCAGTGCAATACAAAACTGCTCCTCACTGACTCCTAAGACAGTCATTTAATTATCAGTTCAAATTCGAAGAAAATTTCCCGGAACACAAAGGGCGATTCCTCCCATCCCCGGGTCAGTGACCTGTAGTTGCCACGCGGAGAATCCTCGCTAGGCATCCAGATCAAAGTCATCGCGTTCCTCATTGTACTCCAGCACGTGCCGCTTAATCTTGGACGAGTCCACCCAAGTGACAAAGTCCTCCATGCTGCGAGTGACGAGAAAGGCGGGATCGGTGACCACGTCAGGGCCGACGCGGACGTGACCCTGTTCCACAAAGGCCACAGCAGCCTGGAGGTGCTGAGCCATGCGGAGCTTGAGGAGCAAAGTGGGCAGGCGGCGGCGGCAGAAGGACGAGGCTGTGACGGAGTCGCAGAGTTCGAGCGAGCCGCGCGTGGGCACCAGGCCTAGGGCGTAGAGCTTGTCCAACAGCGCCGCCGTGGCGCGCACGCGGAACGGGTCGCGTTCGGGGAGGTCGCGCAGGCGCCGCGCCAGCTCGCGCACGGCGCGGCTCAGCTGGTTGTAGCGCGTATACTCCTCGCGCCGCTGGAGCCCGTACCGCCGCAGCACGCGCAGCTCGTGAAGGTTGTGGTCGGTGACCTCCCAGTTCAGGAAGTCCACCTGCTTCAGCAGCTTCTGCTCGTGGAACTTGAGCTTCCGCACCATCGTGGAAAGAGCCCGAGAAAGCAGAAAGCACGCAGAGAACGCAGCACAACTTCCGCCTCGGCGCGGGAAGAGCCCTGCCGCCCACTCCTCTGAGCCAATAAAAAGAAAGCTGAACACCACGCCCCCATTCCATTTTTTAATTGGTCCAACTTGGAACTTCCTGTCGGGGGAAAGGCCAGAGGGAGGTCGGGAGGGCGTGTCCTGCGAAGGCGGTTGCGCTCGTAGCCGCGGGTGGGGAGGGGCGGGGAACGGGGCTGTCACGTCGCCTAATTCTTCAACAATTTTATCTCAGGTACCGGTCTTTGGTGACTCCCAAGAGAGTTTCCTTCAAGAGCTGCAAACGTCAGTTTCGGGAGAGCGGAGTGACTGCTTTTGAGGGAATTTACTCTGCTAAAAGATGGGTTAGAACTGTGCGAATTTCTCCGCGCCAGCGGTCCCTAGGACTGGCCAAAAGTCCACCCCGGCCAGCATCGAGTCTATCACTGATCTGGGAAAGGAATTCTCTCCTTGACAAATAGTACTGAGCAGCGCCAAACCTATGGCATGCCCGTTTCCTGGTCGTTTCCTAGACGCATGGAATCAGGGTGGGAAGCAGCCCTGACATCTAGCTTTTACTTTTTTGAGATAGTGTGTCTCTCCCTAGGTAACCCAGGCCAGTCACGAAATCGCCATAATCCAACCGGCCTCAGTCTTCCAGAACGCTGAGATTACGAGCATGAGCCACTACGGTCATCATATTTATTTTTATTTTATTGAGAGATAGGGTCTTTGTATGCAGCCCTGCCTGTCCTGGTACTCTTCAGGTACACCAGTCTGGTCTCGAACCCAGAGATCCCACCCACTTCTGCCTCCCGAATGGTGCAATAAAAGGCTAGCTTCACTACTCCCGGTTCCTATTTTACAGGCGATTCTATGTTACTCAGGTCGGTCCGGAGGTTCTGTGTTTCTGACAGTCCTCAGTGGTGAATGATGTCCACCGAATATGAGAAACTCGGTGTAAATATAAGTCCTAGTCCTTTCGTGTGAAAATACCTTGTCTGGCAAGTTTGCTTGACACCCCCAAGCTCCAGAAGATCTTCCAGCACAGTTCCTTTATGAAATCACAGAAGCAGAACTAAGATAAAAAATTTCTACTGAACTCCCACCCTGATAGGTCCTTCCCCCTTCAAATCCCTTCAAACCCCACCAAACCCCACCAAACCTCACGTTTTGATGCCATGGCACACAATCCCCATTTCCCAGCTGAGGTTGTTGTCCCTCATCTTTATCAAAGAATAGTCTGGGGCTGGAGAGATGGCTCAGAGGTTAAGAGCACTGATTGCTCTTCCAGAGGTCCTGAGTTCAATTCCCAGCAACCACATGGTGGCTCACAACCATCTATAATGAGATCTGGTGCCCTCTTCTGGCATACAAACATGCATGGAAGGAATGTTGTATACATAATAAATAAATCTTTAAAAAAAAAAAAAGAATAGTCTGCATCGGTTAAGGTTTGGTTTCCAGGTCTGCACAGATCTAGCATCTCTGGTACAGAAACCTCAAAGCGGTTTCATTGGGGTTGCAATGTCAGCCCTTTCCCTGGTCTCTCTCCTCTCCTGTCTTCTCCTTCTCCAAATCCCTGAACTTGCAACCAGCCTAGCAGTCAATGGATGGACTCTGTTTGATGTCAGTCTAAGCGATCCATGCAAGAAAGTTCCAGGGACAGAAGAGTTCACTCTTCTTGTAGCCCAGAGAGACATTTACTGTCCCCCTTTCCTTTTCGTCATCCTCAGGGCCTGGAATAAAAAGCTCTGTACAGATGTGGTACAGACAGACATGTTCACCAAGTCAGTACACACTCTTAACTGCTGAGCTAGCTCCAGCTACAGACATCCCAGCCCTACAAGGAAATACACTCCAAGCTTTTTATAGACTCTAAAGGGAGTTGAGGTAATCAGCTTAGCAGTTAAAAATGCTTGTTCCAGGCAGTGGTGGTGCATGCCTTTGTCTTTAATCCCAGCCCTCAGAAGGCAGAGGCAGGGGGATCTCTTATGAGTTCAAGCCAACAACTGGTCTACAGAGAGAGTTCCAGGATCGTCAGGGCTACACAGAGAAACCTTGTCCTGGGGAAAAACGAGAACAATAACAAAAACCAGCCACGTCTGATGATCTGAGGTTGGTCCCTAGGATCCACATGGTGAAAGGAGAGAACTGAATATCTCAAGCTGTCTCAGACCTCTAAGACATGCACTGCAGCACACACAAAATAAATAAAAATATTATTTTTTTTCTGTTTTTTGTTTTGTTGTTTATTCAAGACAAAGTTTCTCTGTATAGCTTTGGTGCTTGTCCTGGAACTAGTTTTTGTAAATCAGGCTGACCTCAAACTCACAGAGAACCGCCAGCGTCTGCCTCCCGAGTGCTGGGATTAAAGGCATGCGCCACCACCACTCGGCAATATAAAAATTTTAATCAGAAAAAAGAAATTCAAAGATCACCTTGACTGTTGTATAAGGAACAATGGTGTGTGTGTGTGTATGCACGCATGTGCACAGAAAACATAAGGAGGCTACAGTAGCCATCCAGGTCAGATCAGAAAGAAGGTACCTGAGCCAGAAAAGCAGTACTAAGATGCTTGTAAAAGGGAAATGACAAAATGATGAGAAGAGTCGAGGATGATTTTTTCTTACATCCCAACAGTTTAGCTACATATATATATATATATATATGGGAAATATAAATATAAATATATATATATATATATGTAATCACCCGATATAGAGAAAGAAGATACAAGCAGAGAACATTTGGGGATGGGCAAGATCAGAAAGCCCCTTTTGTAGATGGTAGGTTGGAGACATCTATTAAAAGTTCAAATAGGGGGGAGGGGGAGAAGGGGGGGAGGAGGGGGCGTAGGGGGGGAGGAGGGGGAGGGAAATGGGAGGCTGGGAGGAGGTGGAAACTTGTTTTTTTTTTTCTCCTTTTCTCAATAAAAAAAGAAAAAAAAAGTTCAAATAGGGAGGCAGAGGCAGGCGGATCTCTGTAAGTTCAAGGCCAGCCTGGTCTACAGAGCAAGTGCCAGGACAGGCTCCAAAACCCTGTCACGAAAAACCAAAAAGTTCAAATAGAGCTGAATGATTTTAATTCCAGCACTGGGGAGGTAAGGGCAGGTGAATATCTCTGTGAGTTCAAGACTAGCTTGATCTAAATAGAGTTCTAGGACAGCCAGGGCTGTATAGAGAAGTCCTGTTTTCTTTGTGTGTGTATGTATGTGTGTATTTTTGTTGTTGTTGTTTTTAGGGTAGGAGAGTTTATATCTTTAATCCCAAGATTTGGGAGGCAAAGGCAGGTGAATCTCCTTGAGTCTGAGAATAACCTAGTTTACATAGTGAGTTCCAGGTTAGCAAGGGCTACATAGTGAGACTCTGTTAAAAAAAAAAAAAAAGCTGGCAGTGGTGACACATGCCTTTAATCCCAGCACTCAGGAAGCAGAGGCTGGCAGATCTCTGTAAGTTCAAGATCAGCCTGGGCTAGTTCCAGGATAAGCTCCAAAGCTACAGTGAAACCCTGTCTCGAAAAACCAAAAATAAATACATAGAATAAAATAAAATAAAAGGTTCTAGGGTGATTGGCAGTATTAAAAGATAACTTGGTTTGTAAAGATGCTAAGCCTGACCATTCATCTCTGGAACCCCATGTTGGAGGGAAAGAACAGACTCCCTTGTTCTCTGGCCTACATACACACACCAAATAAATGTAATAAGAAACATCCCAATTTCCTAAATGGCTTTCAGAGCCGCATTTTCAGGCAGGAACGATGAGGCTGGGAGATAAAGATGGGACAGGCAGTTTAGAGACAGGACCTCAGTCAATATCTGTATCCTCAGTCATGAGCTAAAAATGTCCTAACTTTAAAAACAAAACAAAACAAAACATATACATACACATAGAGATAGAAAAGACAAAGACAGAAAGAGGAAAGAAGAAGAAAAAAAAATTTTTTTTTTTTAAAAATGTCCTAACTGGAGGCTAAAGAAATGCCAAAACTGTTTGTAGGCTTTAATCCCTGGTCTGGTTCCTAAATGATTTTAGCATTGTTACTTCAAAGGAGGGAATGATGAGAACAGATAAACTTTGTCAGATGGAAAAAGAGCCCAAAGCAGCCCCTCATAAAATGTCCTCATTGGTGGCCACAAATATCAGAAGATTTCTATTTTTTTGTTTTTATTGTCTTTTAAGTAGTACGTCTACCTAAAGGTTTTAGGGACTGTTCCCTCCCCATTCCTCATGCTTGTTTCTGTCATTTTACCTCCTGTTTGCTTGTTTGCTTATTTATTTGTTTTGAGACAGGTTCTCATTCCATAGTCCTGGCAGGCCTTGAAATTAATCTGTAGACTAGACTGGCTTCAAATATACAGAGACCTGCCTGTCTCTGCCCCCAGAGTGTTGGAATTAAAGGCACATGCCACCAAGCCTGGTCATTTTAGCTCTCTCTTTTTTTAAAAAAAATATTTATTTATTTATTTGTTATATATACATTATTCTGCCTGTGTGTATGCCTGCAGGCCAGAAGAGGGCACCAGATCTCATTACAGATGGTTGTGAGCCACCATGTGGTTACCGGGAATTGAACTCAGGACCTTTGGAAGAGCAGGCAATGCTCTTAACCACTAAGCCATCTCTCCAGCCCCCCTGAGCCATCTCTCCAGCCCCTCCCCCCATTTTAGCTCTCTTGGTACTGCCGCCTCAGCCTCCCAAATTTAGAATTACAGGCGTTTACCACCATGTCCAGCTTCTGAGAATATATCTTCAAATATGTGATCATCATTCTAGTCTAGTCTGCCTCCAAAGGTCTCCCAGGTTTCCTTTGCCCCAGTCTTTGTCCCACCACTGTTGTGGAATATTAATTTAAGGTGTGTTACATTTCTTTGCTGTGGAACGTTTGTTGAATGATGCAAAGATGTGCTGCATTCTTTTATGTTGCATTTGTTTAACTCTGTGTTACCGTGCCCATCTACTAATAAAGAGCTGAACAGCCAATAGCTAGGCAGGAGAAAGGACAGGCAGGGATGGCAGCAGAGAGAATAAATAGAAAGA